TTGAAATGGGGAAATGAAAGAGAATAGGAACATACCAAAAAAGAAGCATTTTAAGGAAGGATGTGTTCTTCCAGAGCGGATCAAAGATTTAAGTGTACAAAGGGGTGAGAAGAATATATTGATGCATATTAGGAGAAAAACAAGAAAGAAAGGAAAAGAGATAAGCTTTATGAATATTATATTTTCTGTGTGGTTCTAGCATTTCCTGCTTTCTCATCTCTAAGTACAAAAATACGATTTACCACATGGAGTTGTGGCGTAGATTAAATGAGATAATATATCATTGCTGTCATTATATCTCCAAATACAGAATTATTATGAATAAGAGAGTAAGAAAAAATTGCTCCCAAAATGAGAAGAAGAAAATAGCTATAAATTCAAAGATCTATTAGCAAAATGAATGAGAATATATGGAAAGATGATCACTGTGAGTAATACACAAACGTTTCACGATGGGAGTGTCTCAACGATCACAACCCACCTCAGGGAGTTTGTGGGGAAATTGTGGCCTAGAGTGTTGGTTGATGCAGCTTATTCAGGAGAAGAGTTTGGCCTCCACTGTTAACATGTGCAAAGGGCCTGCTCCTATGCAGTCTGATCCCCACACCCCCACTAACTTGAATCTTTGTTTTGGAGAATGTACAAAATGCATAGAAATGCACATTACAAAGCCTTGAGGGTCAGGTAGCAAAGGGTGGTTGGCAGCGCCCCCTGGCGGGTGGGAGTGGGGCGACCTGAGCGTGCTCCTCACTCTTGCCTATCCAGGGTTTTCTGTACCGGGCTTTGGGCTTCCCCTTGGCCACTGGCCTGGAGGCCAGCAAGGTGGAGGTCCTGCTACTGGAGCTGCTGTACAAGACGGACTACAGCAATGACTTCGACCGCGAGGTGAGGGTGCCTGCAGTCCCTCCTGTCCACCAGAGACCTCTGATGCCTTTGGGGGACGTGTGTTCATGTGCCCGTGTGCATGTGTGTGAACATGCGTGTGTGCCCAGGCTCACGTGTGTGTGGGCTCCTCCTCTCCTCCCGCCCCTGCCTTCAACCCTCTCGCTGGCCGGGTCTTCCTGCAGGGCGTGATTCTGTGCTTTGGCCTGTGTGCCCGCGGCCAGGTGAAGACGGTGCTGAACGTGCTCCATGAGTTTGAGGACAGGATCCAGGAGTCGGAGCAGTCCTGGCAGATCAGCGCTTGGCGGGTAGGGCCCCCGAGCTTGGCAGCCAGGTGTCGGAGCCTCTTGGCTCCCGGCTCTCACACCTCCTCCATGCCCTTTCTAGATCTCAGCAGGGAACTCCCCTTCCAGGTCTCTTGTTGCCAAAATGACCGAGATCTGGAGGCTTCCTCTGACAGAGCTGTGTTCCTGGATCGGCTAAGATTACAGGGTGGGGCTTTCCAGGACCCAGATTCTGCCAAGGAGCCCTACCCCTTGCTAATCTTGGTGCAGTCTTCAGACGAGCAGTGACGGTCCCTGGGTGCAGGTTGGAAATGTAGAGTCCCAGGCCCTGCCCAGCCCCCCAAGATCTGAAGAAAATGTCCAGGGAGCGCTCAGTGGATTCAGGGATCCCCCAAGCTAGGGTGGAGCGGCTACATGTGCGTGAGAATGCGGAGGCTGGTCCACAGGCAGGGGGCTGCTCAGGGGTGAGGCAGGGTTTGGAGCCAGACAGCCCTTGGCCCCTGCCTGCCAAGGGGGTGGTCCCACAGGCTGGGAAACCACCCCAAATGCCCATGCCTCAGGCTTTGCTCTTGACCTTGGCTCATTTCTTGGGGCCTGGGGTCATTTGGATGGAGAGTGTCTCAGAGCGTGTCAGGCTTCTGCCCCAGCTTCTCTGCCAAGCAGGATGTGAGACTCAGACTCCTAGTTACTGGCCAACAGGGCATGGGCACTTGTGTACCCTGTCCACGGTGGATTTGGTGGGCTCCACACCTCCCTTCAGAGAGTGTGTGTGCCAGAAGGCATGGCCGAGGCTGTTAATTTTTGCTAGATGCACTCTGGCAGGTGAAGGCCTGGAGCGTGTGAGCTGCCTATGTCTGTGGTTGCCACGCAAATCTCCCACACAGTGGAGGGTGGTCCTGGCAGCTGTTGCTGGGTGAAAGCCTCCCTGGGGCTGGGCCCTGGCCTATCTTGCTTACCCTGTGTGCCCAGTGCCTGGTGTGTAGCAGGTGACCAATATAATTGTGCTCAGAGAATGAATATAGGCATGACTAGGTGCCTGGGCATTTTAGGCACCCAGAAAATGGTCAGTGGAAGCATGTTCCACTGATTCAATAGGTCCTTTGGTCCTGGGGCAAGAGCCCCAGCTCTCCCCAGCAGTGCTTCCCCTTTGGTTGGCCTTGCAGAAGGACCACCCCTGGAGGCGGGAGGCGGTGAAGAGCGCCCTCATGGTGATGTACAGCTGCGTGGCCTCCTACTGCCACCCCCAGATGCTCCTCAACCACGTGGACAGTCCTATCACCTCCAAGATCATTCACCACTACTCCAGCAGCTGCCAGG